AATTTTTTTTCAGCCAATCGTTATCGCGATAATTTAGACCTTCCTATATTTATGAACAGTAATGTACTCGATAAGTCATCTTTCCTTCATCTTCTAGGATTAACTCTCACTCCTGATCTTTCTTGGAAAACATATATTAAATTCGTTGCAAAATTAGCATTTGCTAAAGTTGAATCTCTTTGTCGAGCTCGACACTTTTTTTACTCTGAATTCTATTATCTATCTCTATAAATCTCAAATCCGACCTTGAATGGAATACTGTTGCCATATCTGGGGCGGATCTTCTTTTGATGCCCTTTTTCTTTTAGACAAGATGCAAAAAGGCATTGTAAACATAGTTGGACCTGCTCTTGCTGCCAACCTTCAACCATTATAACATATCCGTAATGTCGCTTCTCTTTCTCTTTTCTACAAATACTATAATGGGCACTGCTCTAAAGAGCTAGCGTCTCTTGTGCCATCTTATAAAATTAACTTTCGTGTTACTTGTCGTTCAATTAAGTCTCATCCTTTTTCTGTTACTATTCCTAAATGCTTCAAAAACTCTTACTCGTCTAGTTTTTTTCCTCGAACATCAGTTCTTTGGAATTTGCTTCCATTATCTTGCATTCCTTATTCATATAATTTGTTATCTTTTAAGTCGTCTGTCAATTGTTATCTTGCTCTACAATCTTCATCTTTTCTCTTCCAGTAACTTCCCACACTAATTGGTGGTTGAGTGCAGCCTTGTTGGAAGCGAAGATATTTAAAAAAAAAAGAAAAAATAATATAAATATATATATATATATATATATATATATATATATATATTTATATATATATATATATACATATATATATATATATATATATATATATATATATATATATATATATATATATATATATATATATATATATACATATATATTTATATATATATATATATATATATATATATATATATATATATATATATATATATATATATATATATATATATATATATATATATATGTATATATATATATATATATATATATATATATATATATATATATATATATATATATATATATATATATATATATATATATATATATAAAAATTCTTTGATCTTATTTCGATTATGAAAAAACAAAAATAAAATGGATTCTAACGAAACCTTAAATATTGAGTCTAGTTTTTATAATTTTTTTCAAACAAATGATTTCTTATTAGATGATGAATCTGATCCTGATCTTAATTATTTTTCTAATTCTGGTGCTTTGCAAAATAAATGCAACTACTTTTATACCCATGAAATTAAAGGATTTCTTGATCAAAATAATATTAACTCAATTCACATTAATATCCGCAGTTTAAAAAAAAATTTTGAAATCTTTCGTAATTTTATTGAAGAAACTTGTAATCTATTTAATATAATTTGCTTAACAGAAACATGGTGCAGTTCGGATGACGTAAATTTTTTTACCAATTTTGAACTGCCGGGTTTTAATGTAATTTCATTAGCACGAAAAACAAATAAGCGTGATGGAGGCGTTCTTATTTATGTTAAAAATAACTTACGATATTTTACCCAGCATGAAATGAGCATCTCTGATGCTGATAAAGAGGTTTTAACGATTGAAATTTTAACCAATAAAATAAAAAATAAAATTCTAAGCTGTTGTTATCGCCCACCTTCAGGTGAAATTAAAAATTTTAATTCGTTTTTATGTAATGACGTTATTAAAAAAAGTAACCACGAAAATAAATTTATCTACTTAGTGGGTGATCTGAATTTAGATTGTTTTCAATACCACGTCAATAATAACATTAAAAGGTTTTATAATGGCATTTTTGAAAATGGTGCGATTCCCTTGATTAGCAAACCGACAAGAATTACTCAATCAAGTGCCTCTTTAATTGATAATATTTTAACCACTGATGTTTTTAACGAATCCTTAAAAAAGGGCATAATTAAAAATGACATATCTGATCATTTTCCTATTTTCTTTTCTATAAATATAGATAATAAATTAGTTCCTAATGAAAAACGAGTTTTCAAAAAGCGATTTTTTACAAATGAAAACCTTAAATCTTTTAAGGAACAATTATCTCTAATTGATTGGAGCATTATTAACACCTCTGATGATATAAACTTAGTTTATAACTCCTTTTTTAAATCTTTCTATGATATTTATGAAACTAATTTCCCTGAAGTTAATTTAAATCTCAAAGCTAAAAGTATTAAATCGCCTTGGATTACAAAGGGTTTGCGGAAGTCTTCAAAAAATAAACAAAAATTATACATTAATTACTTAAAATCTAAAACAAATGAAAATAAAATTATATATAAAAATTACGCTAAACTTTTTGAAAGCCTCAAGAAAAAACAAAAAAAAAATTATTATTTAAATTTACTAAATATATATAAATTAAATTTTAAACGCACTTGGTTTATAATAAGAGAAATTACTGGCAGCAAAAAATGTACATCTCACTCTTTGCCAAACACGGTTAAACATAATAATGAATTTTTATATGATAAAAGACAAATTACGGAAGAGTTTAATAAATATTTTGTGTCTGTAGGACCAAATCTGGCAAAAAGAATTCCTATAGCTAACGGTTTAATGAATGATCTACGTTTCCCTCTAAACTCTTACTTGGACTCTTTTGAATTATCTTTTGAAGAGTTTGAAAATGCCTTTAAAATGTTAAAATCTAACAGAGCAGTAGGCCCTGATGGTATTAATGGCAACATTATTATAAGTTCATTTGATGTTTTAAAAGATATACTCTTTAAAATTTTTTCAATATCAATTAAACAGGGAATTTTTCCACATGCTCTAAAATTAGCAAAAGTCATACCAATATTAAAAAGTGGTGACATTGAGAATATAAGTAACTATCGTCCAATTTCACTCCTTTCTGTATTCTCTAAAGTTTTAGAAAGAATTTTGTACAATAAAATTTATAGTCATCTTACTTTAAACAATTTATTATACAGGAATCAAATATGGATTCCAAAAAAACAATTCTACTGAACATGCCATTCTACAATTTACAAGAAATATATCTGACTCATTTGAAAATTCTCTATTTACTTTAGGTGTTTTCATTGACTTGGCGAAAGCTTTTGATACTATAGATCACGAAATTCTTTTTAAAAAGTTGGAGTGGTACGGAATTACTGGAAAAATATTAATTTAGCTAAAAAGTTACCTAAATAATCGAAAACAATTTGTTTATGCGAATGATAACGTATCATCTAGTTTGTTAAATATTTCATGTGGAGTTCCTCAAGGATCCATATTAGGACCTCTCCTATTTTTAATATATATTAATGATCTACCAAAAGCTTTTAACCTAATGACAATTATGTTTGCTGATGATTCTAACCTATTTCTTTCTAATAATAACATTTTTGCACTTTTTAGCAATATGAACATTGAACTAGTCAAAATTTCCGAATGGTTTAGATTAAACAAACTATCACTAAATATTGATAAAACTAAATGGATTCTTTTTCATCCTTATGGTAAAAAGCACCAGCTGCCTAGCAACTTACCTTTTCTATTTATCGATAACATAGTTATTAATAGAGTTTTAGTGACAAGATTTTTAGGTGTATATATCGATGAAAATCTTACATGGAAATGCAACATTGCTAACTTGTGCAGTAAAATTTCAAAGAGTATAGGCATTTTATACAAAATAAGAAACGTTCTTGATAAAAATACCTTAACTCAATTATATTATTCGTTAATTCATTGCGATATCAACTAAGCAAACATTGCTTGGGATAACACTTATAAAAGTAAACTTAAACCTCTCTATCGGCAACAGAAGCATGTAGCACGCCTTATAAATTTCAAGGACCGTTTTGCTCACGGCAAGCCTCTTTTATATGATATGAAAGCACTCAATATATATGAGTTAAATGTTTTTAATATTCTTTGTTTTATGTATAAATGCAAGACCAACCTATCACCCGTTTCTTTTCGTAACTTGTATTTACAAAGAGATAGAAATAAATATATTCTAAGGAACGATAACTTAATTCGACAACCATTTTCTCAAACTAATTTTGGAAAATTTTTTATTTCATTTCGCGGACCATTTTTATGGAATAGTATAGTTCTAAATACTTCTAAAGATTTTTCTCAAAAATGTAATTTTGATTCTTTTAAACAAAATCTTAAAAAACTCATTTTTTCAACTGAAAATATACTATTCTACTTTTAAATTTTTGAAAATCACTTGTCTATATTAGTATATGAGTATATTTAATGTACATTCTTTTTTATTTATTTATTTTTTTATCAACAAGCAATTATTTAACATGTTTTATTTTAGTGAATTATTTAACATGTTTTAGTTTTTAAGTTTTAGAACTCTTCTATTGTAATATTGTATGTTTATTTATAATATTATATTACGAACTTTATATACTTTTATTAATAAATTTAATTTTGTAATAAAAAGAAACTGAACAAAAATAAATAAATACAAAGAATGAAAACATTGAAAAAAAAAATAATAATAATAATAAAAAAGAAAAAGAAAATTAAAAAAAAAAAAAAAAACGTTCAAAAGCGGTTTCTCTGTGACAAGACCTGATGGTCTTCTTTGAGTATCCGCGTTCTTTATATTTATTAATATTCTTTATATTATTATATTATTCTTAACGATATCTTGACTTGTTACCTTTTCTTTTTTTATTTTTTATATTATTTGTATCTGTATCATAAATATTGTAATAAAGAACAAAAAAAAAAAAAAAAAAAAAAAAAAAAAAATATATATATATATATATATATATATGAATTTTCTTTATTGTTCTATATATTTTTATCTGGTTGTATATATTGAAAAAATAGTATTTTAATAATCTGATAATATGAATACGCTAATTTAATATTATTATTATTAGTCGAGTTACGTCATTTTCTTGGCTTTTCTATTTTAAAGTAGTTTCTAGGCTTTTCTATACGCGGTTTTTTTTTTTAATTTTATTTACTAACAACGCGTATTACGGGTTGCTTACTGCTAGTATTGATTAATATTTAAAAAAATTTTAGATTCTAATTGCATTTCAAAATACGATGCTTTATGAAATCTTAAGCAAGTTCAATGAAATGATGACAATTACTCATCTCAGGTATAATAGTAATATACAAAATAATAAATTTAAAATTATTTACAATCAACTAAGTTAAATAAATATATACATAGGCAAATGTGTTATTATTTATTTATGTTGTGGTGCAATGACATGTTCTATTATGAGTCTGTGCTTTTTTTCCAGAGTTTAGGAAGATCATTATTTGTTAAACTTTGTTGCTATATAATTGACAGCGCTGTCAATTATATAGTACCACTTGAACAAAGTTTATTTATATTTACTTCATTGTGCCTATAAGCTTTATTTACTGTTACTAATTGTATATTTATTTTTTTAAAGAACAAATTATTTGAACTTTTTAAATTTTTTGGACGAAGTTAAATTGTCTATCTATTAGAAACTTTTGGGGACTGCTTATTAGTGTTTTTTGAATACTAAGGTAGACCTAGTTTTCAACTTTTACTGTAAACTTATACAAACTATTTTTGCAACATTCTTGTTGCAAAAATGCTTTTTTATAAGTCTGAGATATGTCTATTTTATTTTTTTCTAGGTTTTCTAGGTTTATAATTGCTATTTGAGTTGCAAATCAATGAAGCTTGTGTAATGGCAACATTCAACTCTTATCAGGAAAAAAAATTTACAAAACTTAGTATAAGACAAATTTGTTGATAAGGTAAAAATCTTTTTTTTTTTGTTAATATTTAGGCAATAATTTACATTTTTGTTGGTGGCTAATATTTTTGTTTATTATTTTCAGCTCGCAACATTGTTTTCAGACGATAAATAAATCTAAATTTTATTTGGAAAAGAAGTAGAATGGAACTTTTTTTTTTTTTTTTTTCTATTTTTATGCTATATTTTTCTATACAATGTTCTTATATCCGAAGATATTGTTGGCTTAGCATGGGAACAGCCACAAATAGTCATTAAAACTAATCCAAAGTAGCGTCCGTTATTGACCAACATTTTTGCGTATTTTACATTCAAAAAGTGACTTTTAGATCAAGTCTGTATATCTGTCGAAAACCCAATTGTAAAGTTAAAGCGATGCTATAGCCGATGCCATATCTCAATCTCTCTGTGTATATATCTGTCAAAGATCAATCTACAAATTTGTGACATTTTCTCTATTTCTTTTTGTTAAGGCTTTACCTGAATATTTGCTACCTATTATTTTTTTCAAATAAAATATTGAATTTATATTTAAATATATATAATATGACACCTATCAATTTCACCAAAAATTGTTATTTATACGTATAATTTAACTTTACTAAATAAATAGAAAATAAATTAAAATAATTATAAAATATTATTTAAAAAAATATAATTAGGTAAAATAATAATAAAATGTTTCTTTATTAAAATATAATTAAATAAAATAATTATAGCGGAATTATTATGATAACAAGTTTTGCATAAACTTCTCATATTATGATATCAGGATTTGAGTTCAAAGTGATATCAATGAGTGATTTCATTATGATATCATATTGATTAGCCTTAAATAAGGCACAAATTACTCACTTTGAGTTTATAACGAAATTAGACAACAAAAGCTACTGTATTTTAATTTCTTGGAAGTTATTTCTTGGAATTCCCATAAATAGTGCTTTCACATAAATATGATAAAAAAGACATTGAACCCCAAAATAAGAAAACTTTGCCATCATATCAACTTGAGGTAACTGTTGGCAGAATCTCTTTTCATTTCACAAAAAAACAATTAATTCTTAAGCTCAACATAGCAAAGATAAAATTTCAGTCAAAATATATTTTTTGGATTGTAAAAATAACTAGATACAGCAAAAGTGCAATTTAGGCGCCGGTACAATATCGGCAACCTTACCCTATGTGTGGATTCCACACATCAGACTTGTTTTAAGTGCATGATATACGCACTTTTCGTTACTTTAAATCACCTCAAAACAACTTTTTAATAACCAACCCTTATGATCATATAAATAAAATATAAAAGTAGTAATAAAAACAAAAATACAATAAATACAAGTAAAAGTTTCTATGAACTATTTTCAAAAAATAAAGATTTTTTTATTAAAATTATAACTATTTAGAATTGTACTTTCAGTCGATTTTAAGACAAATATCCAAATGAGCATTCAATAAATGTTCAGGTAATTTTGCAGGGCAAGCAGGACATTCGACTAGCATTTCATCATTATCTATCAGTATAATATCTTTATTTGTTCCAAGTTCAGAGATATTGCTAATTTTATTTTTTTGCTGTGAATTTGCTTTCATCTTTGATTCCAAGGTATCTAGAAATGTCTGTTTGTTAGCTACCTTAACATCATCTAATGAAGAAATCGTATAACCTTTGCCACTAAAAATTGTATGCTGAATAGGAACTTTTGCAAAAGCACTTACATCAGACGTTGGAAGCAATTTGGCTTTCTTATCTGTTTGTTGAAGAGAATTAGTTTTTTTTATTTTTAAATCTTTTAACGAACTATTCGCACTGAATGAAATTTTTCTTTTAGAGAGATTGTTTGATGTATTATTTGAGGTTGAAAGCCAGTCATATAATTTGTTGTTCTTCGCTTCAATGTTCTCTTGATTACTCAAGTCAATTGATTTTTTCATTTTTTCTTTTTTACTTTTTCCTTTTGTATAACTATCTGGCTCTTTAATCTTTATAAACGAGCCACCACACTTGGTTGCGTGCTCCGTCCACCATGTGTCTCGAGTAGAAGGCGCCCTATTCATTGCACGACGTACTACCCCAAAATATGGTGGGCGCTTATTACAAGGACCATCGCATTTCCACCAGTGTTGTCTGTAGTTGTTAACCTAAATAAAAACCTAGATAGTAGTTAAAGTATTTATTTTTAAATAAAAGATAATCACTGTCCATAATTCATTGCTTATTAACTAAGCGTATTACTCGACTTGTAAGTTTTTTTTAGATAAAATTAGGTCGAAAGATTTTGTTTTTTAGGGGCATACCCCTTTAAAAATTATCGTTCAAGTGAAACCTTATTGTCAAAACTAAAATCGATCATATAAATGATCTTAATAAGCAAAATGAAATTGTGAATTACAACCACCTATAATGACTGAAATAAGAAAAAAATGCACTTTGTACTGTCCGAATAATCTCAGGTTATGAAGGAGTAATATCAAAATAAATGTAAAATAAAACTTTGTTTCTTGATAAAAAAAAAGTTTTTTAATTTTTTGGTATTTTTATTTAACTATTGGTTTCCATGTAGCACTACATAGAATATGAAAATTTTTTAAATAACAATTTTTCAATACTAAACCAGCAAATTCTCAAACTAAAAATACTTTATAATTTACTTTTTCAAAGTTACTATTAAACATAAAATTTTTTTTTAAATTAAACATAAAGATTTTTCAATTAAATTAATAAAATTTTTCAATTAAATCAATAAAAAAAATTTTTTAATTAAATTTTTCAAAGTTACTATTAAACATAAAAAAAAATATAAGGAAATTGCATCTTTATGTAGATATAGTCAGGGTGTTAACCAGCCTGATGGCACCGCGTATAACGCGGTATTCCCAATTGGTTTCAATTTCCCAAAGGTTCATAAGATCATAGTAAAAAAAAAAAAAAAAATTAAATCAGTCTTAGATTTTAAGTGTCGCGCTACACAGTTAGCAAAAATCTGAGCTGACCCTTAAGTCAGTTCCCGAGAAAACCGCAATATACCTATGAAAACTTATGACCACGAGATTCCAAAAATGTAAAAATTTAAATCATCTGCCTACGTCCGAGAACGAAAATCAATTTAGAAAATTTCCTTTATTAAACTAATATGTGAAACGACAGCATGCCCAAAGTTTTGCATTTTTACATTATTCATAATGAAATAACACAAGCAACATATATAAAAATACTTTAATTCTACATGACTTGACATGGAAACTCTCTCTTAGATTCTTTTCTCCTTAAAAGATTTTCAAATTTCATGAAACATTTTTTCTCTAATGCTGTTTATTCTTAGATAACTCCTTGCGTTGGCTAAAGCTCATATCAAAAATTCTTGCTGAATCAATAAGGCGCATAAGAAGCCTTATTTCATATTCTGGAAGACTTATTAGGCGTTTGTATCTTTCCCAATGTAAATTAAAGCAGTGGTGCATTGCTTCTGTTGTTTGTTTGTTATAAATTCCAAGTGGCATCTTTTTCTGTTTGACAAAATCTTTAACATGAAAAAATACTGCATGAACTTTTGGTGTGATTTTTCCAATGGACAAGGATTGAAAGGAATTTTTGAAAGCATCTTTTAATTTCTTCAAATCGCACATGCAATTTGTTGCCAAAACATGATGATACCACATCAGCAAATTTTCGCATGGCATCAATGATGGGAAAAACTTAAAAAGATTTGTCCTTTTCAGCAATAGTTTGCAGAAGATCCAGAGTTTTTTATTGCAGATTTGCAGAAGATCCAGATTTTTTTATTGCAGTCATTGCCTGAATGACCCCCGTGAAAGGGCTGTTGCTTTATTTGTAAAGCTTGAAGCCAATCATCTGCTTTTGGCCATACAACTTTGAAAATCTTGAAAAGATGATTCACAACACCAAGTAGAAAATGTAACTCCATGGGTGGAATAAGATCCATTAAAGAATAGGCTCGTGAACTATATTTCCAAACTTCTTGGCATTTTTGGTGTTTGAACCTGCTGCAGAGAAGGCACGGAATGAATCTTTCGTAGAGCCAAATGTTGTTGGAGTCCCACAGTTTGCAATATTTGAGCTTTCAGCAGTACACCATGTGCATGGATGGGAAGAAGAATGGGCCTGCAGGCCATATAAAATAACCAATTTCATATCACATGAGATGATATGAAATTGGTTAACATTTCATATCATCTCATGTGAATTTCACATCCTGGATGTCAAGAAGAGAAAGAATGAGCCTTATATTTGTATAATTTTCTTGAACGCCTTCAGCCACAGCCACAAGAAGTTATCTTTTCATTCCAGTATCTTTTGATTTTTGGCATATAAGCAATTGTTTGCTGGGAGGTGAATAATCATTGTGCTGTGGTTCCAATTCGGAAACTCCAAGACAGACTTTTAAAAATCCTCCACCCCCATCAATCCCCATTTTAACTATATAGTTTGAAAAAATCTTGCGTCAAAGAATAAGATCTTCAATTAGGGAGTTCAGGCTTTTACAATGTGCAACCACATGCTTTGAGTTGTTTTGTCAGAGTTTGTAAATGCCATTGCTGTCTGAGTGAAGCTGTCTTCAAAATTTTTGCAGAGATCTTAAAACTTTTTAACGAAGACTGCAAAACATTGATTGTGCTAACATTATTGATTGTTTGTGCTAGCTTTCTGATACCATTGTTGGACAAGCCTGTATTTATTTGCACCTGAGCGAGATCTTTGGCTGTTACAACTGGTTGATCCTTGAACAGCTGTTTTGCACTTGATGGTCCTAAAATACAACAAAGGTTATGATTTGTTATCCTAAATGAAATGATAGGTAATGTTTGTCCACTCTAGGCTTGTGAAAGTTTAATGGTTCCAAGAGGAGAAATTTCCTTGTTTGTGATTGTTGATGGTGCAACATGCTCTGCAACTTTACCATCATTTGCAGCTAAATATTTCATGTTCTCTCTAAATTTTGCAGTAGAGCATTGATATGGTAGCCCCCTATCAATTAGAGTCAGACATTTTGAGCACCTTCTGTCTGATTTTTTTTTTTCTATTTTTGTGGTTTCGAGAGGGTGTTTTTCTGTCAATTTCATACGGCCAATACAGCAAATTAAGCATTCACAAGGATTTTCTCTTGTGGGAATTTTAACATTTATCCTTTTAAACTGAGAGAGCTGTGGCAGTTCCACTTTTTTTTTTTTTAACATCTTTGCTTCCAACAAGGCTGCAAGCAACCACTAATTAGTGTTGGAAGTTACTGGAAGAGAAAAGATGAAGATTCTAGAGCAAGATAACAATTGACAGACGACTTAAAAGATTGCAAATTCTATGAATCAGGAAAGCAAGATAATGGAAGCAAATTCCAAAGAACTGATGTTCGAGGGAAAAAACTAGACGAATAAGAGTTTTTGGAGCACTTAGGAACAGTAACAGAAAAAGGATGAGACTTAATTGAATGACGAGTAACACGAGAATGAATTTTAGTAGATGGCACAAGAGACGCTAGCTCTTTAGAGCAGTGCCCATTATAGTATTTGTAGAAAAGAGAAAGAGAAGCAACATTACGACAATGTGACAGTGGTTGAAGGTTGGCTCCAACTATATTTACAATGCGTTTTTGCACCTTGGCTAAAAGAGAAAGGGCATCATTAGAAGATCCACCCCAGATATGGCAACAGTATTCCATACAAGGCCATATTTACATTTTTATGAATCCCAATATTTTTACATTTTTGGAATCCCATGGTCATAAGCTCTCACAGGTATATTGTGGTTTTCTCGGGAACTGACTTAAGGGTCAACTTAGATTTTTGCTAACTGTGGCTAGACAAGTAAAAAACGCAATTAGAAGCATGCCAAAAAAATGAATTAAATTGATTTATTTTTTTAATGTGTAAAAACGTGTCGTCATTAACAAGCGTCCATTAACATGATCATTCGTTCAAGAGTTTAAGAAAACTTTTTATTTTTATTGACGTCAGTTAATCTTGAGTTAAGATTTTTTAAAGTTTAATAAATTATTTTATTAATTTATTTTTATTATTCAAAAACTCTTTATTTATGTTTTTGCTGTTTATCTTACGTTAGTAAAGTTACAAAGAAATTTGCATAATAATAAATATTATACTTTAAAATAAGTTAATAACGTTTTTTTAATAAAAGATTATTAATACTCTCAGTAAAATAAATTAGCAGGTAAAGTAAATTGGAAATAACAACAAAAATAATCAAAAATAAAACTTGCAATGAAACGTATTATCTATGTTAAATTTACGTAAAACGTAAAAGAAGATAATTAAATAATATTATATGATTAATTATTAAACAATATTTATAAATACAAAATTCTTTTTTTAATTTACAAATACAAACTTTATGTAGATATTTAATGAATGTAATGTAAATTGAAAAAAATAATAATAATAATAATAATTTTGTATTTAAATACATTTTTTTTATTTAAATACCTAATTTACTAGATATTTAAAATATGCCAATTAAATTTAGTTGCTGCCCTCAGGCGGTGAAAGAATCTCGCTTTGCCCCCTATATGTCTTTGTTACTTATTTAACTTAAAGTAGCATATTGCAACTAAAGTTCTTTTAACAAACATATTTGACGGAAATCGGCGAGCCAACCAAGTTTTTCAATTAAAAGTTATTAAGATTTCGAAAACTTTCATTTAATTTTTATTTAAAAGCTATTGATTTAAATAATTTTTAAACTGTTAAATTTATATAATTATAAAAATTATAATATAAAATATGATGAACAATAGGACATTTGTAAAAAAGTTTCTTAAGTATTTTAAAATACTAAAGTATTTGAATAGTTATATGGTCAAATATATTTCTTCAGAACTAATCGTTTAAACCTTTTAAAACTGGATCAAAGTTTCAATGAAATTTAATTATACATTCATTAAAACAGCAAACTATTGTCTTCAGTTCTTGTTTTCTCTCTACTTTACTGCAGCCGTTTTTCATAGCGTCTTATGTAAAAAAAAATCAATTTGACTTTTTTTACCAAATAAGCTAGTTTAGATGTCTACAAACGTTTTTGAATACATATTTTTAAAGAGTTATAAAAAAATTCATAAAAATTATTAGTTTCAAAAAGTGTTTTATAAAATGTTTTTCCAAATATTTTTTTTTTAATTACGTTTTTCTCGAAATACGCAATAAGCCTATGGACAGTGTTCTATCACGCGCCGTTAAAATTCGCGGTCGCCATATTGTATGCCAAATAAAATAAACAATGCGAGTGTTTATTAGCATAATGTATTTAATTGCAATTATTTAGATAGCATACCTTATTGTAGATAGATTTTTTAAGATTTTTTTTGGGTAAATTTATGGAGAATTTAATTCTCTATCTCACGATATAATTAATTTATTTTTCCTTAAAATAAAACTCTAAATAAAGTAACTTGTTTTCAAAAGTGTGTTATTAGTAAACTGTACATAATGCACTCTAAAGCATTCAAAAATAAACTTGATTATTTGTGTTTTACATTTGTTTTAATATCTTCTACTAAGTATTATAACGCATTATATTATTTTATTATTTTGTCAATTTGCTAACTTATATAACTCAGACACAGTGAACACATTTTAGTTGATTAAGCATGCTAAATAAATTATTTTAAGCATGCTAAATAAATTATTAAATTGTTTTAATATATAAAAATTCTATGTATATAAATAATATGCTGAATTACTTATTAAATTGATTTAGTATCTTCAAAGTATTTAATAATAACAATAATAATTGGCAACAAGTGAAACCACCAACTTAGCAGAATTTTTCATTTTAGAGGCAATCAACACTCGTGCAAAAAACGTAAACAAGTCGAGAGGACCCAATTGATTATAATTTTATTAAAATTGTTGAAAATATATGTCTACCTTTTTGCTGTCATGTCAAGAATATTTTCCATAAAGCATAGACTTTTTATTGACAAATTAACATATCACATGGGTGCTGCTCATAAGTTAAAGTTTAAATTTAAAAGTTTGCTCAGAAGAAGTGTTTTTAAAATGAATCGTTCTTTACATCCAATTCTGCTGCAAATAAAAGTATATGTAGTAAACAAAATTGATTGAAAGATCTGCATTAGCTCTACGAGAAGTAGGAAGTAGTGGACAGGAATCAAATTCTAAAGTTTTCTGAAATAATTTATAACATTTCAAAGACTTCTATAAGTAGTACTAGTAAATACCTAATTGATTTGTAAATAATAAAACATTTACAAAGAATACATGTATCCATTCAACCAAGCTGTTATCGTATTTAGAAGATCCATTTCAATTCATTGATTAGAGTACAATGAGTTTCTCAGAAAAAATGACTTTGTCATTTAAAGATGTTGTAAGTTGTGTACCTTATGTACAATTAAATATATTACCACAGAAAGTAAAGTGTGTTGGACATGTGCAGTTTTTTTCTGATTTTGTTAAATTTGACGATGGGCTTAAAAGTTTTATTGATTACTGTAAACAACTGGAACTTAATAATGTGTCTCGATAAAGACTTAAAAACACAACCTTGTGTTGATACTATAAACAAACATGATTCTGAACGTTTTAAGTTATCTGAATTTTTAAGAAATCACTTTTTAAATACACCTTGAAAATATGCTCAAATTGACACAAAAATGGTGTATCAGCACATTTAAAAGAATATACATTACAACTTTTTTTAGAATTTTGTACTATACACAGTACAATCTCTCTAATTCGAATTTTGTATGTAAAAATAAGTTTAAATTAAAGAGATTTTTTAATTATAGAAAGTTAATTTATTTTCATTATACATTGTAAAAAAGATAGTTTTCAAACGTGTGTAACACGTGTTTTTTTGCCATAGAAACTACCTTAATTAAATTATTTCATCTTCAACAGCAAAACTATGCCAAGTACTTGTTTTGTTAACGGTTGCTCAAGTAGAGCTGACCGTGACAAGATGTCTTTCCATAGCTTCCCCGCTATTATAAAACATCAAGATAATAAAACGCTAGAGTTGTCAGCTAAGAGGCGCTGCGAGTGGATTGCAGCAGTTAATAGACAAAAAAAACCAACCAAGTTCTCGAAAATATGCTCTGCTCACTTTAATTCGGGTATGAAATTGATAGAGTTCTGCCATATTACGTTACTTGCAAAGATCTATTTATGTACACTATATATGTTTTTAATATATACGCAATATTTATAGGTAAACCAGCTGCATTATATGACGTCACCAGTCCTGACTGGGTTCCTAGTTTATTATTGTCTGCATCAGTAAGGCAACCACAAGATAAAAAGACAGACACCTTTACTCTCCACAGAACTTTAAAAGTTGCAAGGTAAGTCATTTATAAGTTAGTTGACTGAAGTTGTGTTGCGTATCCTAAGTAAAAAATTACGCTGTTATAAAAGATTGCACTGTCATTTTTCAAAAGTGCATCTTGAATAAGTAAATATTTAATGGAATTTTAAAGTAAATAAAATGACGCTTTAAGAAAAATTTTAGTCCTCAGTCTCTTATGACAACTTTGTTGCCGACTGTTGAACTTCAACATTGACTTACAGATTTATGTCACTTTCAGATATTCTCGAGCGCAAATTAGAGCTGAAAAAAAGACCATGTATACTGCCGCAGAGGATTTGCTACATTTTGCAGAGGGAGCTGCTAGTGAAACAGTTAGTGAGGTTTCAATCAGCAATTTTAATGCAAAACGTAAAACATGCACTTTTTTGTTGAAAGGTCCTGTTTATAAAAAGCAAAGTAGTGAAGTCGAATTCCTGACGATTGATGATAGTCTCTCAGTGCAAAATAATGAAAGTGAATTCCTGATGCAAGATTATAGACGAGTTCTAAGTGAGAACATTAAGTTAAAGGAGAAGCTCCTCTCGTTTGAAGTAACAGTTGAGTCATTTACCGATGATGATAAAGTTCTTTATTACACAGGCTTGCCCTGTCGTAAAGTGCTATTAGCTGTGTTTCAGCATGTCGAAGCGTATGTTTCGTTAACAGCGCGTTCGCGACTATCTAAGTTCCAAAAATTAATTCTTGCGCTAATGAAGCTTCGTCTTGGAACCCCAATACAAGACTTAGCATTTCGATTTGACATTTCCTATTCCGTTGCTTCAAAAACTTTCAAGAATATTTTGCACATACTATATGTTCGTATGAAACCTCTGATTTACTGGCCAGAAAGAAAAGAATTACTACAATCTATGCCATTATCGTACAGACAACACTTTGGGCTTAAGATAGCTGTCATCATAGACTGTTTTAAAATTTTTATTGAAAGACCCTCAAATCTTATGGCTAGAGCGCAGACATGGAGCAACTATAAAAGTCATAACACCGTAAAATATTTGATTGGCATTGTTCCACAAGGCGTTATTTCTTTCATTTCCCAAGGATGGGGTGGGAGAACTAGCGACAAGCTTATCACCGAACAATGTGGACTCCTTGAGAAGCTCAACCCTGGGGATGTAGTGCTTGCTGACCGAGGCTTTAACATAGCCGACTCTGTTAATCTTATGTGTGCTGAGGTTAAAATTCCAGCATTTACAAAAGGAAAGAAGCAGCTATCAGCTGTTGATGTCGAAAGTACTAGAAAAATTGCCCGATCGAGGGTCAACGTAGAAAGAGTGATTGGACTTGCCAGAAACAAATACACTATATTGAAGGAAATCTTACCAGTCGACTTTTTGATGTGTGAGGCCGACAATATACCAACTGTGGACAAAATTGTTACAGTAAGTTGTGCTCTTACCAATTGCTGCAAATCAATCGTACCTTTTCATTAATACGGAAATTATGTAAAATCATCTAAATATTTTGGTAAATTATATAATATTTGTGAATATAACTTATAATTATCTTATATTAATGTGAAAAATTGTTTTTTTTCTTAGTTTTAGTTTTTTTCTTTTAAATTACTTTTAACTTCTTTTCTTAAATTTCTTCTTTTCTTTGTTGTTATTGTTGCCTTTAGATATTTTTATGGGTTGTTTTTTTTTTAATTTTTTTTTTATATATATATATTATCAAACACCCTATGTATATATATATATATATATATATATATATATATATATATATATATATATATATATATATATATATATATATATATATATATATATATATATATATATATATATATATATATATATATATATATATATATATATATATATATATATATATATATATATATATATATATATATATGTATATATATATGTATATATATATATATATATATATATATATATATATATATATATATATATATATATATATATATATATTATATATATATATATATATATATATATATATATATATATATATATATATATATATATATATATATATATATATATATATATATATATATATATATATATATATATATATAGAGGGTGTTTGACAAAAACAGAATTATCCAATGTTGAAATCAATGTCTTCAGTAACCATTGCAGTGGAAATAGCGGCTTCACCAACTGATGTAGTAGTACTAACTTTTTCAAGTATGGAAGGTTGTGCTCTCGAACCGTTCTTTTCTAGGTCTACACAAACCCAGGGGTACAAGGAAGATGAAAACCTAGGAACGTAAGATTCAACAAAGACAGGTACTATTGACAGAATACTTGGTTTAACACCAGTGTCATGCAGAATTTGAAAAAAATTGTTCATTTCCGTAGCGTTGGGTGGTTCTACAAACGGAAGAGGCAGCAATTGATATTGTCTAACAGGTGTCTGAGATAATTTACTATCAAGAATTCTTTTCATGTTTGTTGCCGATGTAAAATTAATGTCTTTTAGCCTAGAATATTTTACTTCCTTTACATTTGATGGTAACATCCAATATGCCGCTTCTTCAGTAACAGTTTGGCTCTTTTCTAAGCGCACAGAAGCATCAATTGCAAAGAGCGTGGCACTGACATGAGTACATGTTTCAGCCAAGCCTGCCATACAGTTGCAGTGTGCAGCTAAAATATTTCCACTCTTTTCTGCAATAATCCAAGGTTGTAGTGGTGCCTTGCTGATACTCTGAGAGTGTCTCACCTGAACAAAGATATGTATATATATATATATATATATATAATATATATATATATATATATATATATATATATATATATATATATATATATATATATATACATATATATATATATATATATATATATATATATATATATATATATATATATATATATATATATATATATATATATATATATATATATATATATATATATACATATATATAATTTAAATGTAATATATAGCAGGAAGTAATCTTTTTAGACTCTTTTTTTTTAGTTCTATTTATAAAAAACATAATAAGGAACAAAATAAATATCTCAGTGATATTGATATTCCTTCAATAATACATTTATTTAGATATTGCATCAATAATACAAATATTTAGGCTCTTCCATAAATAAATTAATTGTAGGCATACAATATCTGTTAAACATATGTGCATACTTAAATTGTTGTTATTGCTAATTCATACCTTGCTTTTAACAATGACGCGGTTATTCACAACATAGCTTCCCAAATCAGAAACCCAACCGCTGACGAACTGGTGGTATGCATCCAGAGATTTGTAAGATTTCAATTCATCCATTGTATAGGCACTTTTTGTGTAGACGCAATAATTTACTATGTCTGGATAATCCACGGAAGGAAGTGATTTAGGATTTGTGTCCATATCGTTAAGTTTTAACTTATACGGGTCTACCCCACTAACAAGCTGTATTTTCTCAACATAGCGCATTGCAGCTGCGCCCTGTAATGTTTGATAATATTCCTCCATTTTCACAACAATATATACAGCTAAACACCTATCGTTGAAATACAAAAAAATATTTAATATTACGGATTTGGAAATAAAAATTCGATGACTTGCTGAAAATCCTTTTTTGTGAAGGCTTTCATAGACATTTATTACTAGTTTTAAGTTTTTTGGGTTTTTCCTCTCCCACCTTAAAATCTTGAAGGCTTACTATTTTAACGGTTCCTATAGAAAGAAAAAAAACTACATTTTTGTTGAGTTTTTGAAACAGATTTTTCTTAATAGTGGAAATGTACTGAACAAAATTAAACAATCCAAAAAATGTTGATTATATATTTTTTAAATATGCTGATTCGACATTTTTATGCAAATTTGAGCCTATTTTCCAGGTGAATTAATGGAAAAATTTTTTTTTTGAGGAAATGCAAAAATGAAAGCATAAATAACTAATAAGTCACAAAAACTTAAAATCCTTTTCAAATGGAAGAATCTTTTTCTTCAGCTGACATTATTCAACTAACACTTTCTTGACTCGAGATTCAACGAACACTTTCTTGACTTGAGATTCAACGAACACTTTCTTGACTTGAGATTCAACTAACACTTTCTTGACTTGAGATTCAACGAACACTTTCTTGACTTGAGATTCAACGAACACTTTCTTGACTTGAGATTCAACGAACACTTTCTTGACTTGAGATTCAACGAACACTTTCTTGACTTGAGATTCAACGAACACTTTCTTGACTTGAGATTCAACGAACACTTTCTTGACTTGAGATTCAACGAACACTTTCTTGACTTGAGATTCAACGAACACTTTCTTGACTTGAGATTCAACGAACACTTTCTTGACTTGAGATTCAACTAACACTTTCTTGACTTGAGATTCAACTAACACTTTCTTGACTTGAGATTCAACTAACACTTTCTTGACTTGAGATTCAACTAACACTTTCTTGACTTGAGATTCAACGAACACTTTCTTGACTTGAGATTCAACGAACACTTTCTTGACTTGAGATTCAACGAACACTTTCTTGACTTGAGATTCAACTAACACTTTCTTGACTTGAGATTCAACGAACACTTTCTTGACTTGAGATTCAACTAACACTTTCTTGACTTGAGATTCAACTAACACTTTCTTGACTTGAGATTCAACGAACACTTTCTTGACTTGAGATTCAACTAACACTTTCTTGACTTGAGATTCAACTAACACTTTCTTGACTTGAGATTCAACTAACACTTTCTTGACTTGAGATTCAACTAACACTTTCTTGACTTGAGATTCAACTAACACTTTCTTGACTTGAGATTCAACTAACACTTTCTTGACTTGAGATTCAACTAACACTTTCTTGACTTGAGATTCAACGAACACTTTCTTGACTTGAGATTCAACTAACACTTTCTTGACTTGAGATTCAACTAACACTTTCTTGACTTGAGATTCAACGAACACTTTCTTGACTTGAGATTCAACTAACACTTTCTTGACTTGAGATTCAACTAACACTTTCTTGACTTGAGATTCAACTAACACTTTCTTGACTTGAGATTCAACTAACACTTTCTTGACTTGAGATTCAACTAACACTTTCTTGACTTGAGATTCAACTAACACTTTCTTGACTTGAGATTCAACTAACACTTTCTTGACTTGAGATTCAACTAACACTTTCTTGACTTGAGATTCAACTAACACTTTCTTGACTTGAGATTCAACTAACACTTTCTTGACTTGAGATTCAACTAACACTTTCTTGACTTGAGATTCAACTAACACTTTCTTGACTTGAGATTCAACTAACACTTTCTTGACTTGAGATTCAACGAACACTTTCTTGACTTGAGATTCAACTAACACTTTCTTGACTTGAGATTCAACTAACACTTTCTTGACTTGAGATTCAACTAACACTTTCTTGACTTGAGATTCAACTAACACTTTCTTGACTTGAGATTCAACGAACACTTTCTTGACTTGAGATTCAACGAACACTTTCTTGACTTGAGATTCAACTAACACTTTCTTGACTTGAGATTCAACGAACACTTTCTTGACTTGAGATTCAACGAACACTTTCTTGACTTGAGATTCAACGAACACTTTCTTGACTTGAGATTCAACGAACACTTTCTTGACTTGAGATTCAACTAACACTTTCTTGACTTGAGATTCAACTAACACTTTCTTGACTTGAGATTCAACTAACACTTTCTTGACTTGAGATTCAACGAACACTTTCTTGACTTGAGATTCAACTAACACTTTCTTGACTTGAGATTCAACTAACACTTTCTTGACTTGAGATTCAACTAACACTTTCTTGACTTGAGATTCAACTAACACTTTCTTGACTTGAGATTCAACGAACACTTTCTTGACTTGAGATTCAACGAACACTTTCTTGACTTGAGATTCAACGAACACTTTCTTGACTTGAGATTCAACGAACACTTTCTTGACTTGAGATTCAACTAACACTTTCTTGACTTGAGATTCAACGAACACTTTCTTGACTTGAGATTCAACTAACACTTTCTTGACTTGAGATTCAACGAACACTTTCTTGACTTGAGATTCAACTAACACTTTCTTGACTTGAGATTCAACTAACACTTTCTTGACTTGAGATTCAACTAACACTTTCTTGACTTGAGATTCAACGAACACTTTCTTGACTTGAGATTCAACTAACACTTTCTTGACTTGAGATTCAACTAACACTTTCTTGACTTGAGATTCAACTAACACTTTCTTGACTTGAGATTCAACTAACACTTTCTTGACTTGAGATTCAACGAACACTTTCTTGACTTGAGATTCAACGAACACTTTCTTGACTTGAGATTCAACGAACACTTTCTTGACTTGAGATTCAACGAACACTTTCTTGACTTGAGATTCAACGAACACTTTCTTGACTTGAGATTCAACTAACACTTTCTTGACTTGAGATTCAACGAACACTTTCTTGACTTGAGATTCAACGAACACTTTCTTGACTTGAGATTCAACGAACACTTTCTTGACTTGAGATTCAACTAACACTTTCTTGACTTGAGATTCAACGAACACTTTCTTGACTTGAGATTCAACGAACACTTTCTTGACTTGAGATTCAACGAACACTTTCTTGACTTGAGATTCAACGAACACTTTCTTGACTTGAGATTCAACGAACACTTTCTTGACTTGAGATTCAACGAACACTTTCTTGACTTGAGATTCAACTAACACTTTCTTGACTTGAGATTCAACGAACACTTTCTTGACTTGAGATTCAACGAACACTTTCTTGACTTGAGATTCAACGAACACTTTCTTGACTTGAGATTCAACGAACACTTTCTTGACTTGAGATTCAACGAACACTTTCTTGACTTGAGATTCAACTAACACTTTCTTGACTTGAGATTCAACGAACACTTTCTTGACTTGAGATTCAACGAACACTTTCTTGACTTGAGATTCAACGAACACTTTCTTGACTTGAGATTCAACGAACACTTTCTTGACTTGAGATTCAACGAACACTTTCTTGACTTGAGATTCAACGAACACTTTCTTGACTTGAGATTCAACGAACACTTTCTTGACTTGAGATTCAACGAACACTTTCTTGACTTGAGATTCAACGAACACTTTCTTGACTTGAGATTCAACGAACACTTTCTTGACTTGAGATTCAACGAACACTTTCTTGACTTGAGATTCAACTAACACTTTCTTGACTTGAGATTCAACGAACACTTTCTTGACTTGAGATTCAACGAACACTTTCTTGACTTGAGATTCAACGAACACTTTCTTGACTTGAGATTCAACGAACACTTTCTTGACTTGAGATTCAACGAACACTTTCTTGACTTGAGATTCAACTAACACTTTCTTGACTTGAGATTCAACGAACACTTTCTTGACTTGAGATTCAACGAACACTTTCTTGACTTGAGATTCAACGAACACTTTCTTGACTTGAGATTCAACGAACACTTTCTTGACTTGAGATTCAACGAACACTTTCTTGACTTGAGATTCAACGAACACTTTCTTGACTTGAGATTCAACGAACACTTTCTTGACTTGAGATTCAACGAACACTTTCTTGACTTGAGATTCAACGAACACTTTCTTGACTTGAGATTCAACGAACACTTTCTTGACTTGAGATTCAACGAACACTTTCTTGACTTGAGATTCAACTAACACTTTCTTGACTTGAGATTCAACGAACACTTTCTTGACTTGAGATTCAACGAACACTTTCTTGACTTGAGATTCAACGAACACTTTCTTGACTTGAGATTCAACTAACACTTTCTTGACTTGAGATTCAACGAACACTTTCTTGACTTGAGATTCAACGAACACTTTCTTGACTTGAGATTCAACGAACACTTTCTTGACTTGAGATTCAACGAACACTTTCTTGACTTGAGATTCAACGAACACTTTCTTGACTTGAGATTCAACGAACACTTTCTTGACTTGAGATTCAACTAACACTTTCTTGACTTGAGATTCAACGAACACTTTCTTGACTTGAGATTCAACGAACACTTTCTTGACTTGAGATTCAACGAACACTTTCTTGACTTGAGATTCAACGAACACTTTCTTGACTTGAGATTCAACGAACACTTTCTTGACTTGAGATTCAACTAACACTTTCTTGACTTGAGATTCAACGAACACTTTCTTGACTTGAGATTCAACGAACACTTTCTTGACTTGAGATTCAACGAACACTTTCTTGACTTGAGATTCAACTAACACTTTCTTGACTTGAGATTCAACGAACACTTTCTTGACTTGAGATTCAACGAACACTTTCTTGACTTGAGATTCAACGAACACTTTCTTGACTTGAGATTCAACGAACACTTTCTTGACTTGAGATTCAACGAACACTTTCTTGACTTGAGATTCAACGAACACTTTCTTGACTTGAGATTCAACTAACACTTTCTTGACTTGAGATTCAACGAACACTTTCTTGACTTGAGATTCAACGAACACTTTCTTGACTTGAGATTCAACGAACACTTTCTTGACTTGAGATTCAACGAACACTTTCTTGACTTGAGATTCAACGAACACTTTCTTGACTTGAGATTCAACTAACACTTTCTTGACTTGAGATTCAACGAACACTTTCTTGACTTGAGATTCAACGAACACTTTCTTGACTTGAGATTCAACGAACACTTTCTTGACTTGAGATTCAACGAACACTTTCTTGACTTGAGATTCAACGAACACTTTCTTGACTTGAGATTCAACGAACACTTTCTTGACTTGAGATTCAACGAACACTTTCTTGACTTGAGATTCAACGAACACTTTCTTGACTTGAGATTCAACGAACACTTTCTTGACTTGAGATTCAACGAACACTTTCTTGACTTGAGATTCAACGAACACTTTCTTGACTTGAGATTCAACGAACACTTTCTTGACTTGAGATTCAACTAACACTTTCTTGACTTGAGATTCAACGAACACTTTCTTGACTTGAGATTCAACGAACACTTTCTTGACTTGAGATTCAACGAACACTTTCTTGACTTGAGATTCAACGAACACTTTCTTGACTTGAGATTCAACGAACACTTTCTTGACTTGAGATTCAACGAACACTTTCTTGACTTGAGATTCAACGAACACTTTCTTGACTTGAGATTCAACGAACACTTTCTTGACTTGAGATTCAACGAACACTTTCTTGACTTGAGATTCAACGAACACTTTCTTGACTTGAGATTCAACTAACACTTTCTTGACTTGAGATTCAACTTTCTTGCTCTTAAGATTTTCCCTCTTTTTAAACTTTGATTACTATTTTAATAATGTTATGAGGTTTTGCAACTATATTAAATGATGAATGGCCTTTTT